GGTAAAGCTGCCCCTCCGGCGACCTCCCCCTCCTGCCGTGCTCAATCCAGCCTTAGGTCCCCTCAGTCTTTGGGCAATGGCTTCCCCACACCCAGAGCGGGGGACACGGTGCCTGCCTGAGTTCCTGGAGCGAGTCGTACTATGAACTGACGCCATCTAGCCCTCCCTGGCCTCCCTTCGGCTGCGGTCCTGTGGAGTCCTTGGACTGTCCCGCACGGCCCCTCTGCATCCGACGTGCTCCTGTCCTCAAGCTCTCGGCCTCCCTCTGTCCCCACGCGTGACCGGCTCCCTCCTTTACGGAGACAGCGCGACATGCCGTCTCCACTGCCCTTTTCTCCAAGTGAAAAGGACGTCCTCGCTGCCCCGTCTCCCACTACCTCAGGCGGGGGCCCAGCTGAGGCGGCCCCGCAGCTGGACCTGCCCTGTGCCGCGTTTCAGCATCGCGCTTCCTTTCGTGTCTTTTTCACAGAACACGCGCGCTTTAAAAAGAATACACGGACGCAAAACTTTTACTGACGTGAGCGACAGCCACACAGTTTTTACAACCGATTAGTCGCCTGTGAAAACACCCAGATTTCACGTTATGAAGTGCAGACTCCGGGCGTCTCCTGGTCCATGAGGAGGCGGGACATCCCGAGCCCACACTGTGACCGGCTAACGCAGAGCATGGGCGTCGGCCCTCTCCACGGGTGATCGCCTAGGTCCACCCGTTAATTCCTGCCGCAAGCCGCTTCCCCCCGCAGTCTCCCCGCCCGGCCCCAGGCAGCCCCTGAATTTGTGGCCCCTTGGTCTGAAGAAAGAGTTCTGACCCTTCCCAGTCCCCACTGCCGAGCTCCTGTCCGCCTCGTCCCATCCCGCCCCCCACCACACACACTGCCTGAGGCCAGGATCCCACCCCTGCGGCATCTCGGGGCTCACTGTGAAGAGGCGGCATCTCACCGGCACCTCCACTTCCTCTCCGAGAGGAAAGGCGCAGCCCGCTCCCACGAGGCCCTCTGCCGGGTCCCTCTCACTCCCGGACGGCGATGGCGTCTCTCCAGCCCTCGCCTCGCAGTAACGTCGCCTTGCTCTGGACGCTACTGAACACTCACCCAGACTTAGCTCATCAAACCCCCAGGGACCACACGAAGCAGCCTCGAAAACTGAGGGTGGGGGCCCGTCTCAGAAGCGGGAACCTGCCCGCTCCGCCCCGCCTCCCAACCCTTCCCTGACTCTCTGCCGCCTGCCTGCTTGGGAAAATCCGTGGTCCTCAGGTGCCAGGTGGCTTGCGGCCTGCCTCCTACCCCTGTGCCATGCCCTCCCCTCTCCTCCCGCCCCGAGGAATCCGTCCCGAAGGGGAATCCGTGACGAAGGGCACTGCTGCTGTCATCTGCACTTGCTCCTCCCACTCGGCCCTCACGCATCCTTTGGCAGCCAGCTGGGCACACAAGCCTCCCTTCCCTGTTACTACGGTAACGCCTTGCACATGCACCACCTGTTGCACACAGCACACTGCACTGCTGGTTTCCCAGTGCGCCTCCCGTACGAGGCTGCAGGGTCCTCGCGGTCAAGAGATAACAGCCTACTTCTTGGCACGTGACCTTTCTTTACACGTCTGCTACCCGGCCCCACCAACCGGCACGTGAACCACGTCCCCACCATCCTTTCTGCCACCAGGCTTAAAAACCTCTCCCCCCATTTTTATATGCTGGTCCCAGTGAAAACCTTGTCACCCGCCCATGTCTAACTCTCATTTGGAACAATGTCCTTTCCACAGCTGGGTCTTCCTGCCTCCAAATACAGAGTTTCAAACAAATTCTCCCCCCTCTCCAGATCCTCACTCCCTACTGGATGAGGCGCATGGCCTTTGCCCCGCATTCGGACCCCTCAAGGCTGCAACTCAGACGCTGCCTGCATCTTCTGCTCACAACCACCTCTGCCTGGCCATTTTCCCGGCTCTTCGAAGCCCACTTCAAAGGCTGCTTCTTCCAACAAATGTCCCCTTTGACGAAAGTGGTAACTCTCGAGGAGCTTGTGCCTTTTGATAATCTCTCAGGATGTTACGCTTTCTACAAGTAGTACCCATCTTGCTGCTCTGTAGCCAACGGAGCCCTAACTAAGCCCCCTCATTCTCCTCTACTCTAGCGTTAGCTAAAAGAGAGTGAATTAACATTTTGAAAGCAGGAAAACAAAGTAAACCAATTGATGAGACCCGGAACAGTTGTTTTATTCAGACTCAACCAGCTAGTTTAAAAAATTTTTCAATCTTCCTTCTGCCAAATCTCCCCCTCCACAACTTAACTTAAAATATCGTAGCTACTGAAGTTTGCTTTCCTGTTCTTAATTTTTAAAAACACGTTAATGATGTTTTCTTCCTCAAAAGAATGTAAAACTCCAAATCGAAGGAACAATAAGCTCTTAAGTGTGGCATTCAACTCTTACCCGAGTCTGGCAGAGAAAGGATTTCTTACAAGTGGGAGGGTTCGATTATGAGTAACACATATCACAAAGATAAACAGGCAGGTGACACATACTTCCAAGATACTGTAAGACACACCTTTTCCAATTAGCTCATGCTACACTGTGTGGCGGGGACAGGCAGGAGCACGGGAGTGGGGAGGGTCTGTCGAGACAGGCAGGGTTTCTCTGTTGGGCAAAAGCAGCATTTTCCACACTCGGGGTGAGTCTCGAACAAAGCTGAACTGGGAGCCGGCAGAGCGCACAGGAAAACCGAGACTAGTCCGACTCCAGGGGAGCAGCTAAAGCAGAGCACAGAGGAAAGGTGGGGCTGGGTTAGTAAGTTCTGTAAATCAGATGAGGAGTTTAGAGTGAATGAGACAAGCAACAGGAGGCCCTAGCAGGTCCCAGGGCAGAATAACTTTTTGTGAGAGGATCAGCCTGATGCAAGTGGTCCCTGGAGGGAGGGAGGGAGGGAGGGAGGCGGGAGGAATGCACGGAAGGCGAGGATGCATGGGAGGGGCGCCTGCCAAGAAAGGTCTAATTTGCAGCAGAGGTAAAGGAAGGGAGGTGAATGCAAGTGAAGAGACTTTCAGAAGGAATAACAGGGCTTAGTGGAGTCAAACGTTTTAGCCCTGGGGAGTGGGAAGAAATTGTGTAGCTGGGGAGAAGCGAAAGAGGGGGCTGGGAAAAGTTAGATGGGTTGTCTGAAGTCAGACGAACGGTTTTAAAACAAATAAGAACAGCAAAGCCAACTTGATTCGACACCTACAGTGTTTTAAGATAAGCTGTGGAGAATAATCACACCGTTTTAAGCGTCCTATCTCCTCTACAGATGTCAAAAGAAAGTACCCAGACTTTTTAATGTAGAAAGTCAGACGCTACAGCTCACTAGATTCTTCAGAGGCACGTGAAATTTCTGAAGTAGGATGTCAAATAAAGGATTTCTCCTGTCTTCCCGGGGTCGGGGTGGGGGGCGGGTAGGGGGCTCATCATTTGGGAGATAGGTAGCCAGAAGGGCTCTGGAAACTCTCTAGGTCTGAATCCTGGTTCCCGCACGTACTGGATGGGAAAACCTAGAGAAGTTTGATTTGGGGAGGTGGGGAGGGGCGGGTATTTTGCTGCTACTTTTGGTTTGGGGAGGGAAGGGAGTAGCTAAAGGGCTCCAGTAGGTGTAAGTCTAAAAGGCTGCCCTACAGAGAAGGTGAGTCACGTCCTCAAAGAGTTTCAGTTTCCCCAGCTGTTAATAATTTAAAGCGGGGAGGATAATAAAGTCTACCCCACTGGGTTTTTAAGGGGTGCATTAGATAATCCTTCCGAAGTATTCAGCTTAACGTCTGACGTGCCATAACCATTAAATAAATGTTCTCTGTACATAATACCGCACAAGAAACGATGCTATTTTTAACACTATCATTAAACATCCTTATCTTTTCCTGATATTCTTCGAATATTTCGCTTCCATGGTTTTGTCAGACGCGCAAAGGGGGCTGACACCCCCCACAAAGGGTCAGAAGCCCCGTAGCGGGGGCCGGGGACGAGCAAGGGGCTGCGGGGGTGGACGGGAGGCTGCGGGCCCGGCCATCGGCCCGGCGAGACCACAACAGCCCGCGTTGGCGGCGCGCTCGCTCCGGCCGCCCGCGGGGCTCGGCGCAGTTACACGCGTCGCCGACTCGGGTGCTCGCGACAGCCCTCCGGGCTGGGCGCGTCCGTCAGCGCCCCTTCGCCGACGGGGAAACTGAGGCGCCCCGGGATGGGACCGCTAGCCCAAGGTCACATGGCTC